GGAGTTTTGTTAGAATGCGGATGACGTAGGGGATGCGGTTGAGTGGTTATAATTAGGGTAGTTGCACAATGCGACGGTCGTTTGTTTTTGAAATAGGTTCGCTTAAAAAGTTAGGAACTGCCGCATTTAATGTGACTCAAGTCGATCAACGCCTTGATGTTCCTTTTATAGTACTTACAGAAGCTTTATTTTACTACGAATAGCCACAAACATTAAAAGTACTTTAAAAGCTTTAATTTACCACAGAACGCTGTAAGCATTATGATCCATTTCAAAAGAAACCCTAATGTTCCTTTAAATTAAAGGATTAAAAATTTGATCTTGTACGAAAATTAGGTAGATTTAAGCCAGTCCTTACTAAAAGTTAAAGTTACTGTTAACTTTAAGTTGTTTCAAGACGATCCTAACAAAATAGCAAATCGCCGCAATATTTTTTGAGACACCAAGCTTGGGGTATCTTGCTTCGATTTACCTCGCTATAAATGTCACCCCGAAGTCTAGCTGTATCAGTATTAAAAATCTAGGGCCTATACTAGATCTCAAGGGCAGACAAGGTCTACCCGTGAGATATTTACGGCCACCTGCCAATACATATAATGTAGTACATTCAACAGAATCGGGGTATATTTTGTTCTGTAATGGCTCGTGGGGCTTGTTCCCACGGAGATATCCCGTTTTTTGAAGGATTTTTTTTGCAGGGTATCGTTTAATAGTAACGTTAATATTAGCGTTCACATGACTATTCCGTGTGCAGTGTCCCACAAAAAATCGATTAGTCCGAATTTGTAATTCGAATTTTCAACACACCATGCTTGGCACTACAGTTTAGATTTGCGGGATCCTTCATTACTGGATCCTGCAAATCTGGTTGCCGTGGGAACGAGCCCTTGCACTAAGTACTTGTTTAGAAACTTCTGAATGTGGTTATGTATTTAAATAACTCAAAATCCTGAGAGCAGCGGTTGCTCTATTTCTATTTTGAAAGCAGAAAGCTAAAATAGGCTTGTATTACTGAAAATCAGGTATCTAAAAGTAGACGATACATCGTGAAAAGGTTTTAGACGAAACGAATTAGGAAGACCAGGGTTTTCCACAATTTCATTGAGTTAATTCTGATCAAACTCTTGACAGACTTTAATCTAACAGATTTCAAATCCCTTGATTGCGATTATAAACGCGTTAATTGTCTTACTTTTAAACAATTGGATAACGCCACTTCACAACCCCTGAACGGTTTAAAAATCGCTAAACTTCCCCAAGGTTGCGGAGCCCTGCAGATTTAATCTTGGCCCCACTTTTTCTTGAGTACCTTTGTACGAGAATGTACCGCAGTTGTGTTAAAACCACAGCATTTTGGACTTTGTGCCGTTGTATCAAGGGATATATCGTCGGATCTTTGTAGGTGACTGTATAGCTATGAGACGTGCTGTATCATCGTCGAGAACACATTCCATGGGTGTTTTCTTGTCTTTAATATCTTAACAAGCACATCTTACAGAATTAGGACGATAAAAGGCGTTTTTACCCTGCACGTTTTTCTTAGGTTACATTTTTGGATTATTTGGGATGTTTGCTCAAAGTGATTATGGTCTGAGCGGATTTTTGGTTGGGTAGTTTTTGACATTACATAGATTGCTTTGTAAAAAGGCTTTTTATTCTAATAATGTACTTAATATTGTAGCGTAGGACTCACACCACCCACAAGGTGGACCAACGATCTCATAAAGGTCGAAGCTTCACTGAATACAGGCCGCTACCAAATTATCATTATGAAAATCATCGGAGGAGGCATATGGCTGAATTGATGATGAATGTACATAATTCATAATAAAAAAAGATTTAACTTTACAACCTCAGATCATAGAAAGAGAATAGATATGAAGTCGCGCGTAACTACAACGAGAACCAGTGTCCCCACATTTCCCCCACCACAGCTCCCACACACACATTCAACTGTGTAAAAACAAAGCGACTGAGAGTCTACGACAACATGTGCAACCGGCTTAAAAGTGCTGTGATTGGCCAGAAGGCATGCCTTATGGCCAATCAATGGCCGCGTAACGTGACGCACACTAAGAAAACGCTAGTGAGAGAACAAAGATAAAATGGAGTCGACAAGATATCGATACTTTAAATCGCTAGGGGCAACTAGGGGTTGCAAGTCCCGGTACTAAGGAGTGTTACTGAATTCCCGGTACCAGGTCTAAACCAGTACCGGGAAAACCGGGAAATTCGGGAATTTCGGTACCCATGTGAATGGTTATTATTTATTTAAACAAATTACCAAATTTGTACGTAATTTTAATAAAAATGTAAATAGGTTAACAAAAATAAATTAAACTTTTTCTGTTCAGTTCAATTGGTTTGTTACCTTAATAATAAATCAGTCCAAACAGTTACACAACACGACAAAACTAGTTATAAATGCCTATTAAAAATCATAACCGCCATATTCATAAAAAGCAACAATCGTTTAATCAACCTATTTTAGTTAAAATATGTTTTCTCACTTTCTTTCAATGTCAAATACTGGCAGCGACAAGAGTTAGAGTAGGGGCACACTGTTGATTTTTAGTTGGCCGATAGTTGTGCCCGATTTTAATTTGTATGAAGAATCGGCCAAATCGAATCGGCGTAGTGTGCGCACTCCCATACTACAAAATAGAAAATTATAATTTACTTCTATTTATCGATAATAGGAAACCGCATTAGAACACGAGCACGGCACTATGTTACGACCGGCACATGCGGCCGTACTGTGTATTTTCACACGACAGTGGATATCGGAAGAAATTAAATACATTGCGCAGTAGTTGAGCATGACATAAAGTGGTTGCTAACTAAATCGTCAATGTACAAGTGTGTTAGAATTTTTATCACCACTGATTTCGATATCGCAGTAACTGTTACGGCACTGAATTCGTTCGTAAAAATGTTTAGTTTTTTTTATTTATAAGCAAAATACCAATGGATTTGCAATACTTACATGTAGTAAATGACTCCATTGTTCCTGTAGTTCTTCGTTTCACTTGTTTTATTGCACGTAACGACGCATTATCCAAAATATCGGAGAACATTTCCTTAGTACGACTGAATCGCGACTAACCTAGCTACGCGGCCGATGTTCGTTTCTGGGCATATCGCGGAGACACGCGCCACGCCCCCGTTTCACATCTATTCCCTTCTATGATCTGAGTTTACAACAATCATTAATTTGAACCAACATTGTAAGTAAGTATATTTTTTTGTTATTTACTACGCTGTAGTTTTGATCCAATTGTATATATGAGTAACGGCAGCAACGCTAAATAAATAAAAATGTAATGATACGTAAAAATGGTGCCACCAAATAAAGTTAGGTAATACATTTTCTGCGTACTGCGTCACATGGAGCACCTATGTAGCTTCAGTCGTCTTTCAAATCAGCGTCGTAATAAGAAATTTTGCGATATCATATCTTTGTTTGCAACCAATAACTTATCATTAAGGTTATAATATCAATTACAGCCTCTAAGTAATTATTTATAATTAACACAGTCCACATTTGCGATTTATTTTCTTGCCTTTGATTTATAGTATGTTCATCTAATCTAATTATATTATTGAGTATATCAATTCATTACATTGAATAATGAAATCTTTGAAATTAGTTTGAAAATCAATTGATTTGTTTTTATCATTAACTAGCGGCCGCCCGCGACTTCGTACCCCTTAGGGGTGGAGTTTCGTAAAATCATTTCTTAGCGGATGCCTGCGTCATAACATCTACCTGCATGCCAAATTTCAGCCCGATCTGTCCAGTGATTTGGGCTGTGCGTTGAGATAGTATGTCAGCTTTATATGTGCCGTATCTGCAGGTACCTTTTTTTAATTTTAATTTTATTTCTTTTATTTTACTGATCCTTTACTTACAGGAAAAAACTATATCTCTCTACTTATTTTCTTGTTGGTTTTGTCACGTAAACCACTGAATCAATTTTGAAATACATAAAATACATAGATACACCTGGAAGAGGACCACCATTTTTTATTTATCAATAAGGAAATTACAATTTGCATTAGTTACATTTACTTTGTCCGTAACTATAACGATAATCGGTAATTGACCGTAACTATAAAGTTAGGTGGTGCAACTCAACCTAAGGCTGATTTGCACCAACTTACTATAACCGTGACTTAACAACAACCAATGTTTTTTGTATGGAGTTTGACAGATTTTTGGCGTTTGTCAAAGTTTAAGTAAGATGGTGCAAATCAGCCTGAGATTTCCCAGACAGAAATCCTCCCAAAAATATTGATATAGCTATTTTGAAGAGAGAAAAGTCAACTTTTAAAAGAATGTCTATGGGGCTTCATAATAAAATATTTTCCCCTGAATTCCTTATACCTTCTTTGCTTAGGGCCAAAAAAGGAATTTCTCCGACCTTTGTAATGCGATCCGAAAATACGGAACCCATTATTAATTTTCAAATACCCTTGTTAACAAAATATAATGCGCGAGAGTCGTGCAATTTTTCAAATTTTCTTTACACTGATTTTTTGGGATTTAATGGGGAAATATTTTATCTATTATGGTGTATTTCAAAACAGATTTTAGACAAATAAGCTAAATAGATACACGTCGTAAAAGACAATGCCGGAAATTGGGGTCTTTTTTTTTCGCGCGGCCATCGACCAAACTTTGTTTTTTGGTTACAAAATAGTGTAATAAACCAAACTTACTATGACATGTTTACCTCTAAACTCAGTCTAAACTGAGTTACGAGCATTAGAAGTTTGATGATTTTCATACTAGATTTGCTTTTTGCGCGCAAAGTTTTGTAAGAAATTGCAACAAAATAGTGAGATTGTATGTGTAAACAAACAATACCATCCATTAAAGGCTCCAGACATCAGTATGGAGCAGAATCAGCGCAATAAAAAAATAGCGCAATATTTTGTTGCAATTTCTTACAACAAAAATAACCACCTAACCCAATGTAACCCTCTCTTGCCAACAGAAGCGAAGGCGCACATCCTGGGTCCAGTAGACCTGTACGTGAAGACGGGCAGCTCGCTGTCGCTAACCTGTATCCTGAGCCAGGGCCCGCATGACCTGGGCACCATATTTTGGTATAAGGGTTAGTATAATTAAATAAATACATACTCATCATCATCATTTCAGCTATAGGACGTCCACTGCTGAACATAGGCCTCCCCCAATGATTTCCATGTTGATCGATTGGTAACGGCCTGTGTCCAGCGCCTGCTAGCTTTATGATGTAGTTGGTCTACCTTGTGGGGGGACGACACACGCTGCGTTTTCCGGTACGCGGCCTCCACTCCAGAACCTTGCTGCCCCATCAGCCGTCAGTTCTGCGTACTATGTGCCCTGCCCATTGCCACTTCAGCTTGCTAATCTGTCGGTATAATGTCAGCGACTTTAGTCCTGGGCCCGGTAGATCTATACGTGAATAAGGGCAGCTCGTTGTCTCTCACTCGCATCCTGAGCCAGGGCCTGCACGACGTGGGCACCATATTTTGGTATTTGTATTTATTTATATGTAAATTGTTTGGGTGGGGACTTGAATTTGCAAAAATTCGGAATCGTCAAGAGCCTAGCCGCTTAAAACTTAATTTTCACTACAGATCTTTACATTGTTATTTAATAGTTTCGTACATTATGAGCAAACCTTATTTCAAAATAATTTAGTACATAAAATGCAACTGGAAAGCAAAATGTATTGGTTAGAAAACAAATGAAACATTGATTTATAGGCAAATGAAGGTACTGACCCAGATAATAGTAACTGGGAGCTATATTGGTTTGAATAATGCACCTGCATTTTGTAAAAGAAGAAACAACTTTATTGGTTGCCTCTTCGGGAATTGACGTACCTAGTTTTTTTCTAGTTTTTAATGGGAAATGTATTTGGATTGGAAAATATTTCTTCATCATCATCATTATTGTTTTAGTCACAGGAAGTCCCTGCTGAACATAGGCCTCGCCCAATGATTCTGCTGCTCCTCCCTCCCTTTATGAGGTCGTCGGTCCACCTTGCACACGCTGCTCTTTCCGGTACGTGGTCTACACAATCTTGCTGCCCTATCGACCGTCAGTTCTGCGTATTATGTGCCCTGTTCATTGCCACTTCAGCTTGGAAATGCGTCGAACTGTATCAACGACTTTCTGATTTGATTTCGAAAAGAAAGACCTTCTAACACGTAAACAGTAATATTTCTTCGTAGACCTTCAATTTTTGTTGCCAAACCACAAGTACCTGGGATAGTAAACAGCTTATCCAAATATTGGGTTCAGAATATCGTGTGTGAACTGACTAATCCCAAGGAAATGAGGTCACGAAGTGTTTGCGCACCTTTTCATATTACTTATTGACTTCGTTGATATTTTTATATGACATGTTTCTAAGAGGGCTTTTATACTAGTCAGGTTCTTTATTTCACGATTGATACACTTGTATTGGTTGGACCTTTCGATGTCAAGTTCAGTCTTAAATGAAATGTCAAACTGAGCTCTAATTTAGATCAACACAGAATCATTAGTCAAAATCTATTATGCATAGTATGGACTCTCAAAACTTGTTTAGAATTCAAACATCAATTGAAAAATTATTAGGTGAATTTCAATATTTTGATTAATCATCGTAAAATGACAATACTCATTGAGATTCAGAATAAGAAACTAGATGTTTGTGACAATGACCTATGAGCATCCACAAGTGTTATCAGTTTTGTAATTGCTTATTGATTACAAACTCAGCAGAAGCGAGATACATAATAATACATAATATTTATTACGTAATCTATGATAGAACAAACACTGGGTCATAAACAGTCGAGTATCAATAATCCTAATTTGTTTGCAGGATAGCTCCGTAAATAGGGTTGATATGGATATGCATGGATTTAATTTATTAATTCGAACCAACAACGATGTGTAGCTTGTGTACAAAGCCTCTTATGTCCTTTACCAGGAACGTATTATGATTTCTGAGAAAGCGACATCAAGTATTAACAATTTACCGTCTAGACGCGAGTCTAGCTGCTATTGCTATTATTAGAGAAAAGTAAGCCGACATTAATGTCATTTATGATATACTCAATTCGACATTCCTGAGTTTGATTCTAATTGCAGATCGTGAAATGTTTTCTACATAATATTTATATTTTGTCTGTGTGATTATGACTGTGTTAGTAGTTGTGGCGCGTAAAATAATCATTGTAGATTTAAAATCAAAACGACTCGGTTAATGTTAATGTTGTCTTGACAGTTCCTAAAATCCAATTAAAATGATATTAGCTGAGTACCTCTATTGCAGTATTTTTCCTGACAAAAAAAGAGACATTATGAAGGACTTTGGAAAAATAATAAACAATTCTGATAAAATGTCACCCATAAAAGCAGTGATGTACTGATCTCTGTCTGTCTCATCTATTATTATAATAACAACCAAATTCGAGGCACTTAGTCAAAGAACATTGGCATCATTATTATAATAATAACCAAATTCGAGGCACTTAGTCAACGGACGCTGGCATTATTCATCGAGGTCCTGAGCCGGGACGTGATCCAATCAATAATAGATCGAGTTTCTGACAACTCGATCAATTGGGCTAATTCGATTTCCTACTCAACGATTAGCGTCACGAATGGACGATATTTCGGCAACTGTTCGTAAATTACTTAGAAGCAAACGTGAATGAGGCTAGAAAATTAGCCTAGCGAGATTCAAGCTTTAGGGATCAAAATATCCAATTTGAAAGAGCATTTAATGGCGTCACAAGCTATACCAAGACAGATCTACATAGTCTTAAAAATACAGTGTGACATTTTAATGAAGTAAGATAGATTTACAGCACCAAAAATACTGTTTTGCTTGATTCACAGTGAGACTAAACTTAAGATAATTTTTATAATAGCTAAGTTACGTAAAGGTACCTATTATTCAGATAGACAATAACTCTTTCATCATGAGAAACTTTATATTATCGTCTGACGAAATTAAAAAATTAACGGTTAATTTATGCATGAAAAATCTCGCCCAATCTCGGGTGGATGAAGAATTATGAAAATTCGCAATTAATTCAAAAATGTAAATAAATCTTACTCCTTCTGAAGTATTTAATTAATGTTCATAGTAACCTAAATGGTGGCCATGAAACGAACATGTTTCCATTTCTGAGAAAACTCCAATTCTAAGTGGACCCCAACTAATTTACTTTTCCGAATAAAAATGCTAATTCGATCGTTTCCTATACTTTTTAAGTTAAATACCAGTTTGCGTGTCACAACAAGTTAAACTTCAATCATTGCTTTGGTATTTTTTCCATTTAATATCGCAGATTTGTTGTTCGTGATTGTCGGAATATTAAAAACAATGTGTATCGTACGTGACTATCATGAAATGTTTTGGACAAAAAGTAAATGGGAGGTTCGAGCTATCAATATGTAGAAAATACAAGCAATGGGCAGAAACTCTGCTTTAATCGCATCGTAATAAATAACAATTATTTTACACGTGCTTCTAGTCCCAGCTCGAAATTGAAGATCCAATGACAGATTTCACCTTAGGTTTCCATCTCTAGTTGCGACAAACTGAAAACAGGATAAAATGGGGATAATCTATGTCCAGAGTAGTGGACTGCTAAATGCTGATGATGATATTCCCATCACTGTAACTTGCATTGCAGAGGAACCTAATGTTTTAAGAATACTTACTGTATTGGGGACGACAGCAGCATTATGAGACTTTCGTGATGAGTGCCAACGGTATTCATACCCAGTGAAACTATCCGCGAGTTATTTCTTTCCCATATTTGTGACCACTTACTGACTCCTGCCCACCACTAGCTTTAGCAATACAATTATACATTAATACATTCATAGATGGTAAATTATATTCCCTTGTCCCCAGGATCAAAACTAATAGAGTATAAGGAGGTAGAAGAGAACGAGATAGCAGAGGAGCCGAGGGTCCGGTTGAGGACGGAGTGGACGGAGCAGCTGACGTCACGGCTGACTATAGAGAAGCTGCTGCCGAGTGACAGTGGGAACTACAGCTGCGTGCCGACTATGGCGGAGGCCGCGTCGGTCAACGTTCATGTTATAAATGGTAAGTTCATGGTAATATCACTTAGGCTGGGTTGCACACTTGCACGGCTTGCACCATCTTACTTTAACTTTGACAAAAGTCAAAAATCTGCCAAACAAAAACCAACGGGTATCGTTAGAGGTACCGTTAAAGTTAGGTGGTGCAACTCAGCCTTAAATAAGCTACATTTATAGGAAAACAAAACGATTTTGTTATGTATCAACAACATAATATTGACCCCGACTCTGGCAGAATAGAATAAGACTGTCCCCAATCTTTCTGTGGATGTCGTTCAAGGTGACTTAGGGACAAAATTAAATATGGGAGCGCTGGACACTTTGTGAATTGGACATTCTGCGCCTAACTAAACGTATTATGGAAACATCAAGGCTCCTAACCCATTTGGCCAGCGTGGGGAGTATAGACCAAATCTTACATTTGCCTTTGGTAAATTAAAGAAGGTCGTGCTCCTGCAGTAGAGATTAAATAACCTGAATCTGACATTAATTCTGATAAAGAAATAAAAGATGGAGATACTAAAATACTTGTAACAGCTATGTGTAATACCCATGTTTGCAAAATAAATAGGTATATTTGATTTGATTTGAAAGATATATTTCGAAGTGAAGCTCGAGACAATTAAATACAAACGCGTCGCGTCGGAGCGATAAATAATTTCATTGGTCTTACTATTCTCTCAAAATACGACCAAAATGAAAATATTTATGTTTAGTTTACTAGAAAATCACAAATTATTAGTCTGGAACGAAAAATTCTGCTTTTCCAAGAAAGAAACTCTTAATTCACATGTTTATACCTTTCTCTACAGTTCTCTGTATTGGGGATTCTTTTTCTTTTTACTTTCGTTTTTCTTTGTGTGTTCCCAATTTAGTGAACTGGATGACAAACCTAATTGAGCGATTTACTTTGTTCAGAAAAAACGTTGCTGAAGTAACCTTTGATCACCATTTGATGATAGTATTTACAGTGAGGGCATGTTAAAGGGGACCTTAGTCTCAATTCTTGTAACTAAGGCCCGGTTTCCATCAAGGCGGAGCGGAGAGGAGCAGAGCGGAGAAGTGTTTTGAATAACCAATCAGATTTTAATGTTTCGACGCGACTGTCAAAGTCTGTAGAATTTGATGGCCCGACACTAACTTCTCCGCTCTTCTGCTGCTAAGATAAAAACGCAAAGTTATTATCAATATTTTTTATGTAAAGAATGATGAGTTTGCATAAAAATGAAAGCATCAATAATTAAAGTTTAGAAATAAGCATAGTGAATATTTTAGACGTTTAGTCAGATCCAATTTTAGAAGCAAGCGCTAGATCAAATAATCTGAGGAATTTCTAAACAAACATTTACAATAAGTATCTAAATAATGGGCTTAGTAACGATAAATCGCTGTTTGATAGTCGTTAACCTAGTGCTTGTATTAAAAGAAAGAATAACGTTTATTTAGTACCAATTAAGGACTAAAAAATAAAATAAAATATTTCAAATTCCCCGATAACGTAGCACTTGTCGACAAAAAAAAAGACAGCGTAATTTTATTAGATCTTTGTAATGTTACGATGTCTGGAGTCGGGATTGCTAACCTTTTTATTGTCACAGAAGACTATTTTTAGAGTTTCACGAATCTGAGTGATCCGTTAGATCCTAATGGAAGAGAAGTAAAATCTGTTTTAGAAAATACTTTTATTATACCAGGGCTTTTGCCCGTATTCACAAACGATGCTTACTTAAGTGAAGCAGCAAATCGAACGCACAGCGTTGAATAGAGCTTTGTGATTGGTTCGTGTGTGACACTGTGCGTCTACGCGCACTGTAAGACCTCATAGTAATGTTTGTGATTACGGGCATTTATTTCTTTGATTTATATTGAGTCCATACCACAAAATTCCTATCATAATGTTCAAAAAAATCTTGGATTTTAATGATCAACTCTTACATTTTGATTTCTCAACTACGGCGATTCAAGTCTGACACCAGAGGGCTGAGTCAAACGTCACAATTGAGCTCCTAAAAAAATGATATTAAATGTATGACGGATTGTACAGCGCCCATAGCGGATACGTTCAAGAACTAAAATTTTCATGCATTTTTTACGCGCTCACTAGTGAGGACGTTTAGTGTAAACTCACACTCAGCCCACAGGATTATGACTTTAGTCATTACAACCCACACAATTGGAATTTAGATTCCGCGTGGATCCCGTCTTAATCTATCTTACGCGGCTTAGATTTTTTCATACAAATGTTTTTTCCCGCTAACTCCCGTTCTCGTGGGAATTTTGCAATATCCTGTTGTAACTAAGCTTTAAGTTTACTATGGTACCTACTTGCATGACTTTCAAGCGTCTAACTTAAGCGGTTTAGATTTTTCATACAAAAGGATTTTCCCGCTAATTCCCGTTCCCGTGGAAATTTCGGGAATTCCTTTCTTAGTGCACCTCTACGGTACCTAAGCTACGTCCCTTTCAAATTTCAAGTGCCTACGTTTAGCCGTTTAGGCTGTGCGTTGATATGTCAGTCAGTCAGTCAGTTTCTCCTTTTATATATTTAGATTCGTATCTTATAAGCATTCTTTCTTTCAACAGGTGAGCACCCAGCAGCGATGCAGCACGGGAATGCAAACACAGCATCACCCACGGCGCTGTCGGTTAACCTCCTCATCTCCTTGTACTGTACTCTCGCTACTCTGTACACCAGTACAGTAGACGGGTTTAGGTGAAAGTTACAACGCCCGCCGGCATTTGAGGGTTAGATGTATAAATGTAGAAGAATTTTTTATGGTGCAATAAGATGCGGTTGGCGTGGTGAGGGTTAGATTATGTTATGGTATAAGAGTTTTGTAAATAATTGCGATTGAAAGAAATAGAAGTAGGTTTGGGAAGACTCCTCAGAACAAAAATTGTCTTTGTTGATATTCCTTAAATGTTAGTTTTCTTTCAATTCACTGCAAGATTACCCATATTATACAGATTCAAATTTAACTATTAGGTACAGCTGACAATAGTGGTTTTTCTGAAATTGTGAAGAATTGTATAAAAAAATGAGACGTTTTTCCCGAGACGGCTTCATTAAGTATACAGTTTCTTATTAATACGATTTTTTTATGTCAAGACAAATACGTATACAATGTTACCAATTTTAATAATACCAATTTTAGTAAGTAATACCCGGATTGATTTCATTTTAATATAAATTTATTTTATGAAAAATTAAAATGTATTTCCCAATTCCATAATCTTAGCCTCAACACGCCAATGGCTTAATGTGAAAATGATATTACTAAGATTTGTGTTAATTAATTAGAAATAAATTAAATTAATGAAGTTCTCACTCTGTTCTATTGTATTTATATTTTAAAACGAAATTACTTTTTAGTCAAATGAAGACATGGGTATAGTTTCGAGTTTAAGTTCACCATAAAGTAGATCAATTTATTTTAAATGAACAGAAAAAAATAAAATTGGGATAATAGCGTAGAGCGCTATAGCGATTTAGCAGCGCGTCAAACGCGCGACAGACGCGCTGCCGAAAATTTCATACTATGTGACAGCGGATGCGTGCCTTCACATTATAAAAACACCGCTGCCGCGCTGTTGTCGCGCTACTAACGTCCTAATGTGAAAGCGCTCTAAGTATTAAAAACCTACATAAGTTCGAGAAAAACGTTTTATGTGTCAGAAACTGTACCTACGTCGAATGGTCTATACAATGGGAAGGAATGTAAATAAAAACTAAATTAAATTTAGATAGGTATAGAAGTGAGTGACGAGCGATAGCGGTTATTAGTTTTTTTACCGCGAAACGAAATTAATTAATTGCTTTAAATTCTTAATTATTATTATCCAATTTAACAACAAAATGATATGTTTTTAGCGAATGATCCATCCGCTTCCTCATTTCATCACAGGTCGATCCACACCCACATGGTGGACCGACGACATTTTGACAACTTTATTGGTTACGATAAAATAAATTATTATCATTATTTTGATATTAAATTGTAAAGACGACATTTTGTTCAGGAAGCGAATAATGATGCTGGAAGAGAACTTATTTATAAAAGTAGGAAGATAATTAAAATCTTTTTAGAATCATAATTTCTTTTTTCAGTCAGTAACGCAAAAGAAAAAAATCAGCCAACAGCATTATTTAACAAAACATGGGTTTTCTTGTGAAAAATGAATAGTAAGCACCACAACGATTTGTATTAAGTAGATGAGTAAAAAATATATAATCGCTCGTCGCTCTTGACTTGGCTACGTATTAAATTTATCTTTCATTCTATTTACGAGAGCTTACTTCAGAATTTAATTTAAATAGAGATTATGGCATTTGACTTCTTTCCACACAATTGCACCGAATTCTAATTAAAAAATAAAATACACTTTGTATTTGATAAGTCACTTGTTTTACTGTAGGAAATTGTTATCAGTAGGTATAATTTTATCTTGCATTCGTTGACAAAGTTGAAAATTAATTATTTTATTATAATTTCTGGTAGAGTTAGTGCCTTCTAATATAATAAATGATTCAGGGCTTCTTCTCACCTATTTTTCTGATGTATAATCTTTCCTAAAATTATACTATAAAAATAGGTAGTAACAAACTTTGTCAATTGAATGCACGTTACGTTCTTAACCTCTTACCTACGGGAGGCACCTATAGTTGCCAAGTCAAAAGTCACTTCTCAATACGGGTGGCATCTATTGTTATTTTGGCAAATCCAATACTAAATCACGGTTTAGTAATTAAGTGTAAAATGCGCTTGTAATTATGAAACTACATTAGTTGCAGAATATAATATTCCAAATTTCAATACCGTAAGTCTTATACTTTTTAAAATATCTTGATGTAAAGTGGAGCAAACAATTTTATAGGTTAAAATACCCCGTATTGAGAGGCGACTTTGGGTTTCCAAGGGCCCGTAGGTAAAGGGATAATTTCTGTAGAATTCAATAATTATGGATTAATTTATTTAAAAATGTATTATTTATACACACGAATTTGTTATGCTACACCAGAAGAGATTGAAATAGAAAATAAAATAATTATGTTGATTTTTAGATACAATTTATAAATATGAATTTGTTAACATATAAAATGTACACTTGTAAATAAATAACTTGTAAATAATTTTAATGTAGGTAATTTCTATGGGATATGACTAAACCAATTTAGTTGAGAATACAATGAGATTTAATAGAGTTTATACTAATGGTGAGAGTTATTTGAGAATTTATTTTATGGAATAAATTGAAGTAGACATGCAATACAGAATGGTTATGTAACTAATTCTATGGGATTAAGATAAACTTTGACAAATAAAGATAGTAACACTAAACGGACTTTTATTGATTCCTTGTAGATTAAATATTTTGTAGTTGAGAAAAATTCTGTTTAGATCATAAAGTTCACAGCAATATCCGACTCAATGTTTTTGTTGTCAAATGGCAGCAATCAAAACATTTTTTATGGTTTATCAGCTGAAGCAAGTAAATCAAAACTATACAAGACTAGCATTTTCCCGTAGCTTTGCTCGCGTAAATTTCACTGTCACAGAAAGACCATTGAGCCCGTTTTTGGCATCCCAAAACTGGAATAAAACTTCTATTTGTACCTGGGTCTTGAACTACCTATCTAAATCATCTAAAACTGTTCTAGTGGTCTAGACGTGATAAAGTAACAGACAGAGTTACTTTCGCATTAATAATATTAATGCGCATTACGGTATAACAGTACAGTAAACTTGATGTGTACACGAATCACAAACTATGAAAGCATCAACCATTGTAACACTTCCAAGGCAATCCATGGAAACTATAAAGGCGCAAATGCACATTTATATTCAGAAAGATAAATGTAATGCAATAAAACTAGTCGTAAAGTAAAATAGGACGTATGTCGTTTACAACAGTTGTCCAGAACATACCTAAAAGGATTTGAGTAAAAACCTAGTATTACATTTTGTTTGAAAGAACCGAGGCTAAGTGAAAGCTTGTTTGGCTCGTTCGAAATTTCGCCTTAGCAGTATACCTAACTTGTTTATCTATTAAGTTGCAACAGAGGAGAGTTGTGGCATTGTCGATTTTTAGTAAACTCGCAACAGCGCGTGTTTGTTAGCTCGAGACTTGAACTAAAAACGCGCACTGTTTAGAGCTCGCTAGTAGTTAGTTCCAAAAAATCGACAATGTCACAACTCTTTTTCGTTTTTTATCCACAACGAGGAAGCTCTTGGCCTGATGGTAAGTCATGATCAGGCCGAAGGTGGAAGCGAGTTTCACCCGGAATCCTCAACCACGGAGGAACTGGCTATCTTACCTCTAACTGCCAGAACACAACAATGCTGTTAACATTGTTTGTTATGGCGACAGACTTAGGTAAGATGGTGGTAGCTAGCCAGGCGCACTTAGAACAAGCCCTACCACCAACCAAACCAAACAGAAAAATCTGCCCCCACTGGGAATCGAACCCGAGACCTCTACGTCTGAAGCAGGTGGTCTTACCACTAGAAACTAGACCACAGAGGCGGTTGCAGCTCTCCTCTGTTACAACTCACTTCGGCCTCCCCTATTCTCGTAAAATCAAAGATGATAATACTACAGACTCATTTTGCCAGTGCACTTGTCTTAAACAGAGCTAAGAATTGCTTTGTTAAGTTGGTGAATGTTAACCAAATTCTGAAATTCAAAGTTGATTACGAACGAGCGACAGAAGCAATTGCCTCAATCGACGCCCATGAAGATTATAGTAATCGACAAACTAAATTAAAGGTGTCATTTTTGTATACCTATCGTTCAAAGACGGCCGATGGGGCAGCAAGGTTCTGGAATGAAGGCCGCGTACCGGAAAACGCAGCGTGAGACGTCCACCTACAAGGTGGACCGACGACATCGTAAAGGTAGCAGGGAAGCGCTGGACGCAGGCCGCTACCAATCGATCAACGTGGAAAGCATTAAGGGAGGCCTATGTTCAGCCAGTTGACGTCCTATGGCTGAAATGATGATGATGATGATTGTTCAAAGAGACCCCTAAAAGATTTTATTACTTTGATTTGAAAAATTCTAAAAGTACCTAAAATTTGCGACGCACTATAGGTATTATTTTTACAAGGACCAGCGTGTCTTTTTCTGTGTACTTAGGAAGTCTTTGCTTGCTAACTTTTCCTTACTTACCTACATTTTAGTAGTTTTATGATGTTTAAAGAACATCTCAATACCATTTATATCAGTAAAATCGAGTGAATCTTAAACAAAATGTATAGGGTCTGTAAATAAAAGTATTTTGTGCCAAAACGTTATAGTTCGTTTCACTACAAGAGACGACCTATAAAGTCCCGCATAAAGAGGGCAGTAACCGGAGTTTCGCTGAAGTAAAGATCCGGGACACGGAAGTCCTCTAGAAACGTAGGGTTATAGAATATTGTGGCGACAGACTAAAATCCAGGCGAAATTCAGAAGAATAATATTTTAGGACTTCTTATTAGTTCCAAACACAGATCACAGAAATTAAAGGGAGATGCGACAAGGGGGCGGGGCCGGTGTCGCAGCAATATGCCTAAAAACAGAACACAATGCTCGTGAAAGCAATGATGACAGCTGCGATGCGTATGTCATAATGTAAACAGTTTACATTGCTTGCGTAGTACTAAAGATTATTCGAACGTTGAGTACTGATACCACAGTGGATAATGAGCACATATTTTGATTACTTGTGTAAATTTTTAATGCGACACTGAGTTTCGAACTCAGCGCATTAGTTGGCATCTCTCTATATCTCTATGGTTCGAAATACATACCTATATTAACGACTTCCTTCTGATACAAAGCGGGAGACAAATGACTGTAAAGGTATTAAGCCTTTTAAGAATAAGTTAAGTCGTTGACTGCCGAGATACTAGATACAATATAAAATATATTGTATTGAGGGTGGTGAGGGTATATTTTTTGAGGGTCACCGGTGAGCCGTGTGGTATCCAACGTGTAACACCACGGAAAATGGGTTAAAGATTATGGGGACCTCTTACGTTATACGAGTATTTATTTTTGAATTCCTCCTATATTTTTCTGATTAAA